TCAGCGCAGTAGTGTGGAGGCTAGGGGTCAAAAATCCCCTGCCCTCCGCCTCCTCTCAAAACATGTGGGAATGAGAAAACTTTATCCTATATTTAACCTCCAGGTGTCTGGTTTTTGTGCGTATGTATGTGAGTGTGAGTCCCAGTAGCTGAGTCATCAGCAGCTGGGTGTTTGTAGACGGGTTATCTTATAGGGGAAAATGAGGCTGCCCTTGTTCTTGGGGGTTGGTTGGGGGCTTTTAGCAGTCTAGGAAAAGCTGTGTGTATGCCCCCTAATGCTGCACACTCACATCCCTCTGATGAGAACTTTTCCATTAAATCTGTCTGAGGTTTCAGTGTGTGTACATTAGATTTGTGTCTTGTGCTATCAGCTATATAATAATATGCTACAGAAAAACAGCTTCTGTCTTAATTGATAGTTAATTAATACATAATTTCTTACCCAGTAGAAGAACAGTAGTTAGGTTTAAGATCTTGGGTTGTTTTCTGTAGCAGTGTGGAAGGGCAGCATTTATCTTCTGTAATTAAAGTTTGTATTTATTTAAAGACACAGGAACAGATAGTATTACCACTTCTAGTTACAATACCTCCGTTGATGAACAGCCATAGCTACACCACAAGATCATTACAGCAATGCTATGACCTCCTAAAGTTCTCATTTTCATAATTAACTGTGATACTATTTCAAACTTATTTTCCATTTTATACTCTATTTTAATGTCCCTGTATGGTCCGATGGAAGCGGCAGTATTAACAAAAAGTAAAAACACAGTGGCTGATGTATGTCCATATACTTATATATACCTTTCCTGGCAACATGATGTTCCCATTTGAACAAAAAGCAACGATGCTGAGTCAAATCACTTAGTGCTCTTACTCATCAAACCTGTCTATATGATAGCGGTGTATTATGGCCTACGATCATCACATGGGCAACCTTCACTGTAAAGTTATTCACTGTAAAGTCAAAAAGTCCAGCTCAGCAGAAACATCCCAACTCATCAGCTTTATTAAGAGCACTGAGACAGAAAAAGTATTTTACCTCCTTCTCTCACTACTTTGAAGGATTTTTTGGGGGGCTCTTAGAGCAGATTTTCTCCTCAAAAGAAGTCAGGACTCCGATTCTTCTCCAAGCCAAAAACTACACAACGCCGGCCACATAAAGGTAAGAGGTGCACACTTTCTTTCAAACATATTTCCTAAAAGAGACCACATCCACACGCTTGTTTAGTTGAGTTCTGAGGAAAAAGCACAAAGTTAGTACTGAGCAGTGTATTAAATGAAGACTGTCCTACAGCATGTGTCACATGTCATCACTTCCTGCTTCCATTTACCATGTCCCTCTCACTCAACCTCATATTGTGCAGTGATGCAAAAAAAGGGAAAAACATGCTTGAGACTTTACAAAGACACCCACACATACAAAGTACAACATAAATATAGTTGCCCCCTACTCTCAACACACACACAATCCTGTACACTTAAAGACCTCTGAGCCAGCAGAGCGATAAGATTAGAGGAAGTACGTGGGTGTGAAATAGCTGTGGTGTGGGACTTTCTGGATTCACACAATCTTCACTGACTGAAGGCCCTGCTTTTTATTAGAGTTCAAGCTGATGGGAATACACAGACGCTGATGACACCCACACGTATCCTGCAATTCTGGGCTAAGAACTGCACAGATACAATATTTGCACACACATTAAACTAAAGGTATACATTTATCCTTTATAGTCGGCAAATTCAGACATAACTATTCTTATACGTGCTTACACAGCAGGGGATTCTTTATATAATGTATGTGTGGACACTAAATACTGCTGGGATGCTATACGCTTGATCACAACAGTATATCACATTATGTAAAAATCTGATTTTTTCCTTAAATACAGTAAAGAAGCTACAGAGGCTGAAGTTGGTCTCAGGGCAGTAACCCCGAGGTTATGACTTCTGCTCTGGTGCAAACAAAGCGAAAGTCAGAACCATCAGTGGGTCCATTAACAAAGCCTGAGGGGTGACAAAGCTTTCTTTGTTTCATAATTAATGCAAACGCGATAACCATGACATTGACAGTTGGGCGGTCCGTACATCAACATCTCTGACACATGAAAATGAACGCTGCCATTCATCATTACACCAGGCTAATGGACCCCATAAGACTGAATTATTAAGCACAACACAAGAGACCTTTGTGCCAGATTAATGGAAGCATACTGCGCAGCACATTTATTACAGTGTTATAGTATAGTTGATGAGTTATCACGTTAATTGTTAGCTATACAGGAGGCTGCAACTTCAAATTATTGTGTCAGTTAATGCAACAGCACCAAAGCGGCCTTTGTGTTAACAGATTGTTATGTATATAATTTCTACATCTGTCTACCAGTCTCTATGTTTGCACCAAGGTCTCAAAAGCCTAATGACATCTGTCGGAGCACAGAAACAAGAGTTGCTTTTTTTCTGGTAAATATACAATGCAAAGAACACTTGTCCTTTACTGTTTCCAAGGGGATGTAGTAAGTCTCCAATTAGTTTGACATGTCTGCTGAAAGCTGCTCCACAATGGACGGAGAACAAAGAGGAGGGGAGAAGAGATGAAAAAAGAGAATTTATTCAATCAATCGTACTCAGCACTTTGTGGTGGATTTCAAGGAAAGAGGGAAAAGGAGGCAGGATGTGGTGGGATAGAAACAGACTTGAGGAGGAGAATTAGTCAGACAAAAGGACGAGGCAGGGATTATACTTTAATATAGTGTCATTAAATCCTTGTGATCAGTGACAAACAAAACAAAACATTTAATGGGAAAATTACTTAATATTATGCACTTTCATTTATACTTTCCATTTTCTTCAGGATGAATAAAGATCTTTATTACCTAATCTACATAATTGCTTACATTGGTTTGATTTGGGTGTGATTAAAAAGCCAACTGGTCTCCGGTTTTCCTATATACTGTGGAGATGGCAGCGTTTTTCTACTTTCCAGAGAGAGTGTTCCCTACATATGTCAGTAAGAGCCCATGGAGAAGCAGAATAGCAGAAGTGCAGGGAAAGCCCTCGAAAACAAAGGCACTGAAAAGTGTTTCTCTGAGAGCCACTGTCAACAGGGTATTGATTGTGTATTTGTTTATTTGGTTAGAAGGGAGCCTTGCGATCACATTTCCCTAATTGAGGCAGATTACAGAAAGAAATACGATGCTGCATAAATTAGGTTGCATGATGTTACCCATCTACTGAATTTCACGTCATAATGCTCCAGTAATTAGATTTGGTGCATTGTGCATTAGGCCTTGTTTAGGACAGAAAGGAGTACAGACTGGCTATTAGTGACAAAGAGTAACATGAAGACAGGAGGGGGTGAAATGTTCCTGTAATTTAAAAGTATTGACCACGATTTCCACCGTGGAAACTTGACAAAAGGCTTTAAAGACCCATATCTCAACACATATCAAAATTTATTTTAAATATATATACAAGCTGTAGTCTTCTATGTTCTATTATAATAAATCCAATTCTCTCAGGAGGCCTTTCAAATCCAATAAGGGCATAAGGCTTTGAAAGTGACCTTGGTCACTCTGTACAACCACTGTAGAATATTATTCATACAGTCGCTGTTTTATTGCAAAACAACACGCTGACTGGTTTAATTAATCAGTTCATATTGTAGAACAGCTCACTGAGCCGTCTGTCATTCTTGGATGATATCCAAACGGGCATCTTTAGTGTAAATTTACACGTTGAGGAGAGGAGACTGTCGTTTAAACTGGAGATTAAGTTTTATGGTTATGTCCTTCAATGCTGCAGACACATGGTCCTCTAGGGTGATGCTGGACTAATGCGAATCCAGACACTGTTCTAATGGGGGGCCATTACAGCCCACATTGCAAGAACTATTCATTTTTTATGAGAGGGGTAGATCTGTTGGCGTCTTATATCAGGGGCATTCACCCTTACTGGTTACATCTGGCCCTGTGTCCATGCAGAATACAGCAAGGGTGAAAGTTTATAGCGTGGTTTGGCGTTTTTGGGGGAGATGATGGATCATGAAGTGGGGTCTAGGGTCAGGGATCCTTTAGAGGGTTGCAAGCCCCCAGTGGTGGATTGAATACATTTACTTTAAGTACTGTATGAGTACAAATTTGAGTTTGAGTTTACTTGAGTATGAACATTTTGTGCAACCTTATACTTCTACTCAACTGCAGTTCAGATGGAGATGCACTTTTTACTCCACTACATTTATTCCCATTGTCACTGCTCCTACGTGTACAGGATTCCCCTACTGAATCCAACCAAACAACACAAACCACGGGCTCTGCAGCATCTGAGAGGGGGGCTGTTGATATGAAATAACTGGGGTCACACTCTTGACAGCTCAGGTGAGGTTAAACGCGACGGTGTCAAGTGATGATGGACACCATATCTGCAGGTCGCACTGGTACGAGCAAGGGAACCGATGGCTGTGTCCGCACGTAATAATGATGTAAGATTATTCATGATTCTCATCGCTGCTCCCTGCAGACACTGATGTTGCTCCACTCCTATCGTCCTCAGCGGGGGGGCACCTGCTGTCCCGCTCCGCGCTGCAGTGGCTGTGTGAGCGGATGATTAGTGCACAGCTGCAGAGAGAGGCAGACCTGTAACACCTGGACTTTTAACACATAAGATCGCACGCACGGGAGACGGCAAAACGTGCGCGTTCACTTTCCCGGGAGATCCAGAGATGATGCCCCGTCTGCCGGGCGACGGCAGGACGACACGCGGGACCACTGGCACCCTTTTGTCGGCATGTCTGGTCTCCGCTTGTCAAGCCCTCCGGAGCTGCGGGGAGGTCCAGTGCGGCGACGGCCAGCAGTGCTGCCCGCCCATCGCCGCCGGGAACGGCAGTGCCAGCTCCGCCGTGCGCTGCTGCAAGCTCCCCATCCACATCTTTTTCGACAACGTAGGCTGGTTTACGCGGAAGCTGTCCGGCATCCTGATCCTGTTGCTGCTCTTCGCCATGGGCTACTTCATCCAGCGGATCATCTGCCCGCGGCCCCGCCGGCACGGTCCGAACCACGACCGCACCGAGGAGCCCTCCCTCTTTCACGGGCACGCATCGGCGTCCCAGGACTCCCTGCTGGACCGATACCCCGAGTACAGCCTCGGGGACTTCGCCTCTCCGAACCTGCCAGCCTACGACGAGGTCAAATATTTGCCCACGTATGAGGAAAGCATGCAGGAGATGCACAGAGACCGGTCCGATGATAACTTGCTGTCGGAAAACGAGCGGGGCGGGCAGGGCAGGGTGAGAGCGGCGGGACCGAGAGCTGGAGACCAGAGACGGGATGTCCTGGAGGTGTCAGGACCGCAACTCAGCCCAAGGACATCTCGGAACTCTGTCTGACGGGAAACAAAGCTACAGAGACAATACAGCATTCTTATTTTAATATAATCAGGGTAATTATCTTGCAGAGATATAAACTCAAGTGCAATTATAATCCCGAATGTTACGAATAAAAGGAGGAGGCTGAGAAAATGTACGTGTTTTGTAAGATTATAGGGGATTACTCGCCTTTTGTATGCAAATGGACGCTTGGGTTAAGCAAAGGAGATTATAAAGTAAGCGAAGGCGGCTGAAATTGACGCTCTTTGTGATAGGGACAGCTAATTTGGCTGCGGCACAATCGCATTAAGTTTTACTTCAGCACCTCAATTTTAAGTGGCACCGTGAAACCATTCTTTTTCTGTCATATTCTCGTCCTTTCTTAGTCTTTAAAGCAATATATTCTGCTGGACCCGAAAGACATTCTTCTCTTTTTTTTAATTCTTTATTGAATTTGCATACAAAAGGAAGAATATTTAGATCCCCCTCCCTCAGTAACCTGAAATGTGGGTTGGAAGAGGGAGTGAAGAGAGGAATATCAATATTTTAATACTTTCTGAGGCACACATTTTTATCAGCCAGCTTTAGAGACAGTTCATTTATATCTTATCAGCATGAAAGCAATATTCTGACTCAAACACATGCACGCACACGCATTTCACTGGGGGCTGACACATGAGCATTTTATCAGTGACCTGAGCCATGTCTGATGCCTACTGCAAGAAGTGTGTAGTTTAAAAAAAAAGAAAAGAAAAAAGCTCTGATCCTGGGAGCCTTGCTGCCCCTGAGGCTGCATGTATCAGTGTCTCCCAGGTTTTGAATTCAGGAAAAAAACACAATGGCAGAGATTACAGCTGGTATACTGATAGGGCATAAGCTGCCAAGAAACAAAGTTGTATTTTGATGATAGCATGTTATACAAGATCACAACTGGTGCCCCAAGCAGAACTAACAGTGTAGAGCTCAGATGAAGCAAAGGAAAAGACAAAGGGACATCTAACAGGAGACAAGGGTGAGACCAACAGGAGGCAATAATTTCTTTGTTCAGTGATCTGAAGATGCAGACTGAGAATACCTTTAGATCTACTTGTATGTTGACCATAATTGTGTAACTGTCCCTTGCTAATGTGCATTGAGACAAGGAGTGTCTTTTTTGCTGCTTCAAACTGAAAAACCAAGCTGACACAGACGCACACCTCATTACATCGAGCTTAATGGCCTGTTTACACGGATTAAAGTTATATTTGCCTTTAACTGTCCATTAAAATGTCCCAGTATGTTATAAGATTAAGCTTGTTTGTCATTAGACATTGCTTTACTTTGATATTAACTAGGCATGTGGTAAACAGTCACACTTGTGACTTGTCATATCCTCTCTCCAGCCCGGACTTGAAGAAATGTTAGCATACCATTAGTCCCAGGCCAAAAGAGTAGAAGACAAAAATATAGAAATAGAATCTCCATTAGGACTGTAAGTAATTATTACTTTCATTATTGAATAACCTGCCAGTTATTATGATGATTAATTGATTTATCGTTTGTCTATAGAATGACTACTGAAAATTCCCAGAGCCAGAGATGATGTCTTCAAATTGCTTGTTTTGTCTGACCAACAGACCAAAACACAATTACATTTATTGTAGCACCACAGAAGGCACAGCAAAAACACTGAAACCAGTACATTTTGGGCAATTTTGCTTAAAATAATGACTTAACTCATTGATTCTCATTCTTAAACAATTACCTGTATAGTTGCCAACAAATTTTTTCAGCTCTGACCTCCAGTGCATCAAACAAATCTCTGTCCATGGCAAACGGACAGATTTATTTACTTGTCTGCAATGGGAAAGTGTAGTCAGTAAACTGAGCACTTTACTTACCTATTCTTCCATTCATCATCATCATCATTCATCATCCTCCATCCTTCACACCCTGTGACCCAACTTATTAAATCAACTCAACTGATTTATCTCAGAAGCTCCAGGGTGGTTATGTGTCATCAGAAAGACCAATGCATACTTGTTGGGACAGTGTAATAGAAGACAGTATATCAAAGCATTCTTATTTACCACAAAGTTCTGTCAAATGCTAAGCTATTAAAATATAGAAGATGTGGCTTCTAAAGCAACTATACCCGCAAATCTAGACTTGCTACAATTAGAGACCTTGAGCTAATGCTCTCACACTAAAAGTCTGAGTGGGATTGTGGTGGCTTTTGTAATCCTATACTGCCGGACCATGATGGTAGAGCCAATAGTGAACACTGATGGTTTCTCTATCCAGAGGGAAAGTTGTGGGTTGGTGGAGTTTGCACTCAGAAGCAATAAATCCATGCTTAAAACCCACTGATGGGTTGAGTATGTGACCCTAAGATATATGAAGCCATGTATCAAACCATAAGAGGTGTGAATGTAACTTTTCACTCACTCCTTCATCGTCATTGCGATTCATTGTGAACCAGCTCCCATATGTATCCTGCATGGGGGGGTTTGGGAACATAGGCATGACCAGTCTTGTACAATTCCCAGCATGAAACTTATATCAGATAACGTAAAGCTGGGACATCCCCCCCTGGCAGGAGAAAGAACAGCGATGTAGTTCCTTCTCCTCAAACGCACATATTACAATCCAAACATATACTGTATGTGCACAAACATATACAGAGACACAGACAGAAAGAAAACAGACAGGCATACAGATAAACAGAGTACACACACAGTCACACAAAATGGATTTGGTGTTAGCAACATCGGAATATGCGCCAATGATTCAGTTGTTCTCTTGCTCGCTGGACCAAAGAACAGATACACTATAAAAGGTCAAATCAATGAGCATTATCCTCCTCATAAATTCTACATTAAATCCGGGAAGTGTATTTTTGGGGGAGCTGCATTGTTTGGCTATCAATCTAATAAAGGAGATGTTGCCAGTCACTGAATATGGGAATGCAACTCTGTGGTTTAATGAAATAATGTATTTAGTACTGTGTGCTGTGTAGTTTAAAGAATATGAAATACTCACTGAGAGTAAATTTGACTTTCCTATTCTTAATCTACAGATTAGATCAGATTTGGCACAATATGCCTTGTATCGTTTAAAAGACAGCATGAATACAACACAAAACTCATTTCAGTTCTATTTTTCACTGCGTCTGTGGCCGCTCTCTGTGATAATGCATGTGAAACCTGACTCCTTTGCTGATGAGTCTTTTCATAGATTAATGGTGTTTGGTCTGGATGACTATGGTTCATCACAGTGAGTAGACTTAGAAAGAAAGCGGATGGAGGGAGTAAAATCAGAGAAAGACAGTGACTCAGAGAGACTCAGACTAGAAGCGGCTAAAAGTGCAGCGTGCTGAACAAAAAACAAGAACAGCAAGAGAGAATGAACCCATTGATAGATTTACCTACATCTACTGCTTTCTCTGATGTTTCAGCATCTGTGGCCACTCACAATTTCAGGGATTATGCCGATCACTTTCTACCCTATCAGTCCACAGCATCGTGATATGGTCCAGCAGTTGTCTTTTTGGAGAGCCCTGAGACAGATCTTCTCCCTCATGTGTCCCTCCTGGGCCACTACAGGAGATGGATAGGCTATAATGGTCCGCTGATGTACTGGCCCTCTGCCAACCAGTGGGTGGAGCTGCATGGCAAAGAGTTGGTTTCACACCTCAGCAGAAAAGGAAATACAAGAATAACTCAAAGAGAAGCACACACTGTAGAAATATTGGACTCTAAAACACACACACACCCAGAAATACCCTCTGGGTGCATGTGCAAAGCTGAAAAAACATCTCAAAGATACTCTATGATCTTTGTATAAAACCAGTGAAGCATCGAGACATTAAAGAAATACGACAAGAGGCTGAATATATACAGTATTTCCATCTGTTTTATTAACTGACAATCTTTTTAGTGTTTACAGAAGGCAAAGCTTTGAATATATAAACTGTAAAAATATCTATACATATAAAAACACTAAGTCAAAAACAAAAACAAAGCAATACATTTGTGCATAACTGAGCTCACCAAGTCAATTTTGGAAAGTGGAAAAAAGATAATCAACTTTGAACCTTAGACACAGAAATCACTGAGAGGCTGATATGACAGAAAGGCCATTAGGGTGTTGTTGCTGAGAAATACCGATACTCTTATCAAAAGTCAAATCATTCACCCGCAGTAACAGAATGCCACGTACGGTGTGGTGCAAATGTTTCACATTACAGTGTATGAAACAAGTTTGTGGTGTGAGAGTCAGAGTCAAGTGTCATATTCTTTACGGCCTACTAATGGACTACACATCTCCAAATGTTCCCTTTTGTTTTTTACTTGAAGTTACTGTATTTGGAACTAATGGTGGACATTGTACCTCAAGAACAGACATTTTTTTATTACTCTGAGGCAGAGCCAAACCACCTAATATTCCCCAAATGTCAAAAACACATGGGAAACAATTTCTGCAGAGCTAACGTTTTAGAGAAGTGTCCCCTGAGCATTAACGTCGCGATGCCATGCTGCTCCTCACAGAGGCATTAGCGGCTCTTTCTCTCTCTTTAGACAACTCCATCTCTATCTTCGCCTGGATTTTTTCCCAGTCAACCTCAACCTGGCAGAGAGACAGAAAGACGAGACGAAATGAGATTAGATAAAATACTGTACTTTGCTTTTATCAGTATAGGATTTATAGCGCAAAGCAGCTAAATTAGTCACATTACACGATAAGGCGGGGATCACACTGGATGGCTGAAAAGTGTGGTGTGTTTTAATGCTTTTCCCCTCCTTATCCTGATCACACTGAGGCATTTATTTGCAGCAGACCCCACTAATGTTCCTCCAAATAATCTGTGAGAATAAACAGCTCCAGCGGGGGACAGCAACAACTTCCTCCATTTTTAGTTGAATTCTGATAGGACAGCAGAGAAGAAGCAGAGTTTTCTCAACTGGAGGCACTTGGAGTGTACAAGCAGTGCCATAAAAAGTTGATAACCTGTTTGAAAAAATTAGAAAAAGACCTCCACTGCTTAAAAGGCACCCAGTGTCATCGCTGCCAAAATCAATTAATGCAGTGCAGCAGACAGGCGGCCCTAACTTACCCCTTCAGCGTACTGCACGAATCTCTTATTTGTCTCCTTCCTGCCAAATTTCTGTAGGAACTTCTGCCTATAGGCCAGCACAGTGTCCACATGGGTCTTGTGTTTGACTGCCAGCTCCAGTGCCCTGGACACAAGATGACAAAATGTAGATACACATCCATGGACAAACATGCTTCACCATGACTCTCACTCAAACCTAAAAAAACATAGCTCTTACAAGGCTGAGAAAAAGCGTATGCTGTCTCTCTCCTTCCAGCTGTACACAATTTCACACAAACACTGAGTTGTACCTCTCCCAGCTGAACAGGTCAATGTTGACTTGTATGGCCTGGTAGATGAGACCAGCTTGTAACAGAGTAGCCTCAGCCTCCTGGACCTGACCACTGAACATCAGCATGTGGGCCAAAGACGACTCCTTAGATGGCTGCTCCTTTATAAAGTTGATGTACTGCACCCTAGGTAACTGAAAGAAGAGAGGGAGAGGATATGCAGAGAGAGGAAAAAGAGATTGCGAATGAGATACAGAATAATTGGTCTCTTTGACTTACTTCTTCCATCAAAATCATTGAAGTTTCCATTTATTCAGCTGTGTGTATTTACTTGTGTTGGAAAAGCTGGCAAAAAACAGTGTGTTCAACTGAATTAGCTTTATACTAAAGGTCTTACCTCCCCAATGGCAGCGTAGGCCATCTCTGCTGTGGTCAGCTCCCTGTTTGCCATAGCCATACCAGCAAGACATGCCCACAGAGACTGGTCCTAATAAAAATGAGGAACAGAAGCAGAAAGCATCTTTAAATGACAATCTGACACAATGACCTGGAGACTAGTTTTTGAATGTGTTTCCCCATTTTACATTTCATATTTTCACATACTCACTATACTATACTTATTATACTTACCATATCCAGATCATTATTATCGGAACACATGTAACTTTCATTGAACATTGTCCTAAAAATGCTTTATTTAAAATACAAAGTCAATTCTTCTTGCAGTGACTAGAAATATAGACAGCATCGAAATAGTTAAAGGTTTGTGTTTGTGTGTGTATGCGCATAGGGACAGGGGTATGATGATGTCTTTATACTCCCCATTACATCCTGCTCATATCCTGGCAGGCCCCATTGTAGTCATGCTCCAAAATGCTAAGAAAACATGCATGACACACACAC